AGAATCCAGAACAGCCAAAATAATTTGGAAAAAAAATAAAGTAGAAGAATCACACTTCCTGATTTCAAAACTTACTACATAAAACTATCTTAGGCAAAACAGTAGAGACTGGCATCAGGACAGACACACAAACGAATGAAATAGAGTTGAGAGCCCAGAAATAAGCCCATCTGTGTATGGTCAATTGATTTTCAACAGGAGTACCAAGACCATTCAATGGGGAAAAAATAGTTTCTTCAACAAATGGTGCTTGGAAAATTGGATATCCATATGAAAAAAAAAAGAAATTGAACCCATAACTGACATCATATGCAAAAATTAATTCTAAGGGCCAGAGATATAGCTGACTGGTAGAACGTTTGCCTAGCATGCATGAGGCCCTGAGTTCAATCCCCAGTGCAAAACAAAAATGAACTCAAAATGGATCACAGACCTAAATGTAAGAAAACAACAGACAATGGGTTGGGGATGTGGCTCAAGCGGTAGCGCGCTCGCCTGGCAAGCGTGCGGCCCGGGTTCGATCCTCAGCACCACATAAAAACAAAGATGTTGTGTCCGCCTAAAACTAAAAAATAAATAAATAAATATTTAAAAAAAAAAAAAAGAAAACAACAGACAAGTTTTATTTGAGCAATATTAAAAACCTTTATGTATTAAAGGATACTCAAGGAAGTAAGAATAAAATGGCAAAATGGGGTGAAATATTTGCAAGTCATATGTCTGATAAGGGTATAGCATCCAAATATATAAAGAATTCTTACAATTGAACAGCAAAATGAAATTGACCCAGGCTAGGGTTGTGGCTCAGCGGTACAGCGCTTGCCTAGCACATGTGAGGCGCTGGGTTTAATCCTTAGCACCATATAAAAATAAATATAATAAAGGTATTGTGTCTAATTACAACTAAAATTATTTTTAAAAAAGTGAAATTGACCCAATTTAAAAATGAGTGAAGGACTGGAATAGACCCTTCTCCAGAGAAGATATGATAGCCAATAAACACACAAAAAAGATGCTCAACATCATTAACCATCATAGAAATGAAAATCAAACTACAATGAGATGCTACTTCACACCTCGTAGAATGGTTATAATTTTTATTTTTTTGAAGTTGTTGATAGACTTTTATTTTATTTATTCATACATAGTGCTGAGAGTCGAACCCAGTGCCTCACACATGCCAGGCAAGTACACTACCACTCAGCCCCAGCCCCAGCCCCAGCCCTGAATGGTTATAATTTTATAAAAGGAAAATAACAAGTGTAAGCAAGGATGCAGAGAACTGGAACTCTCATTCACTGTAAGTGTGGATGCAAAATGGTTTAGCTATGTGGAAAATAATTTGACCATTTCTCAAGAAGTTACACAGAGAGTTCTCATATAACCATCAATTCCACTACTAGGTACATACCCCAACGACCTGAGTAGATATTCAAACAAATACTCACACACAAATGTCCAGAGCAGCAATGCTCACAATAGTCAAAAGGCAAAGGCACACACAATGTCCATGGAGGGATGAATCAGTAAACAAAACGGGTCCATATACACACAGTGCAATGTTACTTAGCTATAAAAGGACTAGGCTCTGACTCATACCACAACACGGACGAACCTGGAAACCGTGCTAAGTGAAGGAAGCCAGGCACAAAAGGTCACATGGTACATGATTCCACTAAATGGCATATCCTGAATAGGTAAATCCACAGAGGAAGCCAGCAGATGAGCAGTTTCCAGGGGCTTCATCGGGAGGTGTGGGGACAGGAAGTAAGTATTTAATGGGCATGGGGTCTCCCTCAGGTAAAATGAAGAAAATGTTTTGGAACTAGATAGAGTTGACAGTTAAACATCATTGTGAATGTACTAAATGCCACTGTACAATTTAAAATGACTGGCTTTATATGAATTTCACCAAAAAAAAAAAAAAAAAAAGCAAGTCGAACTTGAGGAATCTTGGGGATTCCACTGCTAATATTTAAAACCTGAAGCTTGGAAGTGGGAAGAATTCGCCCACAGTCACATTCTCTACCCACAGCAGATGGCCCCGCTCTTCTCCAGCTTTGACTCTCATCCCCAAATAGCTTGAGTCTCATTGCTAAATAATTTCAACTTATTGAACACTTGCTTCTGGACTCTGCTTAGAACTTTCTGCGTGTGATCTTAATGAAGGCTTCCACAGTGAACCCGTGAGGAACCACGGCTGTTATCCCCAGAGGAGAGACGTCACTTGTGCCCACTGTCCCACGCACGGCCAGGTGCTTGGACACTGAATGCACACCACTAACCATGTGGCAGTGGGTTTTCCAAAAATAGCCATGACAAATTTCTGGCTTCACATGTTCTTCCAGAACTTTTCACTCCCCCATCAGAAGTGAAGTCTGTGTCCTTTTCCCCTTAACCTGGGAAGACCTCTGTGATTGACTGGACAAATGGAGTACCATGGGAGCCATGCGAGGTGATGTCCAAGACGGAGTCCAGTGGCCACATGGCTTCCTTCTCATGCTCTCTAAGTCTCTCTCTCCTCCCACCTCCTCTCTCCCACCCCTTCCTCTTTCTCCCTCTCTTGAGACTCACTTTGGAGCCCTGAGCTCTCCTGAATGTTCCATGCTGCAAAGACTCCCCGGCCCACCTATAATCCCAACTCCTCAGGAGGCTGAGGTAGGAGGACCATAAGTTCAAGTCCAGCCCAGGCAACTTAGTAAGATCTTGTCTCAAAAAGGGCTGGGAATGTAGCTCAGTGGTAGAGCATCCCTGGATTCAAAAAAGGAAAAGAAAAGGAAGACCTGTGGAAAAGTCCTGAGAACACAGGAAGAGAGAAAAATGTCTGGTATTACAGCCCCAGACACTGTCTGAAACAGAGACCTCAGAGACCCTGGATCCAGAGCCACCCGGCTGGACATTCCCCCAAATTCCTGACTATCAGGTATTCAAGCAAATATTTGTCCCTAAATGTCCATAGCAGCATTGTTCACAAAGGCCAAAAGGCAAAAACAATCCAAATGTCCATGGAGGGCTAAAAAGATCAATAAAACATAGTACATGTCCATTCAATGGAATATTATTCAGCTATAAAAAGGATGGAAGCTCTGATTCATGCCACAGGACGGGTGAACTTTGAAAACACTATACAAAGTGAAAGAAGCCAGACATGAAAGGTCACATACTACATGATTTCATTAAGTGAAATATCCAGAATATGTGAATCCACAGAGAAAGAAGCAGATTAGCACCTGCCAGGGGCTTCGGGGTGGGGGTGGGGACAAGGAGTGAGAACTTAATGGGTGTGGGATTTCTCTTAGGGGTGAGGAAAACGTTTTGGAATGAGATTTGTTTCAGAAACCATGAAAGATAACAACCGAGTGTAAGTTTAAGCCACATATTTCCAAGCAATCAATAACTGATATGACCACTATTTGCTCTGCTGGGCTCAGCAAACAGCAGTTGCCATGGTCTCTGGATTTCTGATATCTCCATACCAGCCCCCAGTAGGCACCACTCAATACCAATACCAACTAATCAATACTGATATTCTCAAATTTGTTTTCCACTCTGATTTCAGTCCTGAACTTATGTGTGCAACAGGGAGGGTAGGGGCTTAAAGCTATTTGGGTTGGAGATTTCTAAAATAGGAAGGGAAAGAAAATGGAGAATACTCGAGTGGAGAGTGCTAGGGTCTGTGATGGGCGGGTGTTGCGTCACTCAGCAGCATCCACTCCTCAGCTTTTGGTAACAGCTCCCAGTTTCCCTTTGGGGACTTCCTCTTCACACTGTATATGCCAACCCAGGTGCTCCACCCTCCCTGGGCCAAAGGGAAGACTGTGACCCAAGCTAGGCCAATTCCAAGCTCCCTCATTAGAATTACAACCCAGAGTGTTCCCTGAAGGAACCTCCTGCTGGGACAGCATCCCTCTGCTCTCTACCTTTCTGACACGTGCTGCTTCTGAGTACCCTTCAATTTTGTGTGATTCCTCATACCCTTCCATGAATCTCATTCTGGGTTTTAATTAGCCAGATTAGTTTTTATTGCTAGCAACCAAGTAATACTGGCTAATGTAGCAGAAAGAGATTGAGACTTCTTACAAGAGTGGTGTAGGGTTTGAAGTCAGGGATCAGGGGATACGATGTAATAAAGACTAAATTTTCCACCATCTTTTGCAGCTAGGAATTTCCACGTGACCAGGTACTGTCCAGTGGAATGTCATTGGAAGGGCTATGCCTCCTACAAAGAAGGCGTGCCCATCCTCAGGCCCCTTTCCTTTGTGCTGACTGGAATGAAGATGTGAAGGCCGGAGCATTTGTATCCATCTTGGATCACAAAGCAGGAGCCACACTCTGGAGGAGCAGCAAGATGAGCACAGAGGAGCCACACCAGTGCTGCTCTC